CCTGTTGAAACGTCACACCTAACACTCTGTCATCCAGTTCCAGCAAGCTGCCAATAGACTGACCAGCAGATTCATTCCCAGGGAAATAGCCTCCGGCTCAGACAGCCACACATCATTCAAAACAAAATACAATCCCAGCCTAACCGCCCTGTCGCTGCAGGAAGTTTGCAAAAGCAGCGGGAAAAAGAGAAAGGGTTCTCATATTTCTTTAATTTCAAGAGAAACAAAAAAGAACTGACACGTCTCGGGGACTAAATCGCTAGCTGGTGTAACCTCCCTGGCTCAGAACATCCCTGTGGTACTTCTGAATCAGCTCCAGACTTTTGCTTATAGCCCTTAAACATGACTTAACGCAATTATCTCCATAATAGCCATAATCTGTGTTCGGGTCCATGCAGAGCCTGAATAGGTGTAATCATCCCCGGCATTACTGAGGAGATGGAAGCCTTCTCTTGCCTTTAATACCTGGCTGCTTCAGTTCCTGCTAATCCGAGATTCAGCACCATGAGCTGTAAGACCCCTCCATCATATCCGCCAGAGTAATCACAGTAATTTACTGCTACATTAAGAAGGTCCCTTTTTCAATGCATTGCCCTTTAAACTGCCAATGGTCATGCACCAAGCTTGGTGGCGGTTTTCACTCACAACCAGGACACAATCACAAGCTGTCACACTCTTCCAGCCGTTCCGAAGCTTATTTTAACACGCTAACCTGTTATCAGCAGATGAACCAGCTGCGTTATTTATTACTTGTTACCCTCATTTTAAAGTAATTCATTACATTACAATATTACTGATTTTAAAATGTAAGGAATTACACTACTTTTGCATTACTTTAAGTTACTTTCACCAAAACAACTTCAGTATGAATCTGGTAATGTGACGCTCAGTGAGCTCATGACACATGTGTGGAAGGTGATGTGGTGTCTGAGCTAGGGTTGCTGTTAAAAACAGTCAGATATAATAACAGTGCTTTAAAATGATTGTTTATTAAATAAAAGCAACAACAATCTGTACTCTCAGCATGCTGCCATCTTATATTAACTGAGCAGGGAGTGAGGTGGTGGGGGCTCCAAGCCTATATTTGCCTTGGTCCCCAAATGCCTTGATACGGCCCTGGATGTGGGACTGACTTCTGGGGTGATCTGATTCTATCACATGTATAAATATTAAATGCTTATATATTATTGCTTTTCACTGGTAAAAAATGTGTATTGGGGATAAATCTACCTACTTTTTGTCTTTTCAAGCACTTTATTTTGTTTTCTTGATTTTATTTGAATAATTTCTGGCCCTTTCTCTCTCTAACCTTCCTGCATGCTGCATGTTTTCTCCGTCTTCCAGAAAAACTGTTTCCTAGACTTCCTACTTTCTAACTAATCAGCCAAAGGGATCTTCACATGCGCGGCGCTCCAGCAGCAATGAGTTGAAATCACCGGGGCACAGATCATGAACTCAGCTGAGGCAAAGCACGTCAGAAAAGCACAAAATGCCAGAGAACATGCGCTGATATGAACGATCGCGAGTGAATTATTTTGTTTTAGTGGAGCGATTTTGTGAATGTTACAGCGGCCGCGTGGAGGACGCCGCTGGAGTAGCTGAGCTGTTACCGCTGCGTCCTCTCTGTCCGCAAAGCTGAGTCCATAAATGACGTAATATATGCAGATACTGGATCTTTCTTCGGGTTTCCCGCAATTTGAATTTTTAAGGAAGACATCTTGATTCTGGGTTTAAAAATGCATTGTAATTACCGCGTTACTGACAATTGTACCGAGTAATATTACCATTTTCTTTCCCTGTAATGCCTTACATTACCATATTACAGCAAAAAGCAATGCATTACAGTAATTAATTACTTTTGTACCGCATTACTCCCAACACTGCTCGGCAATTCCACCGTACTTTCATGCTAAAATGTCACTAGAACATTAGTTGATGCACAACATTTCTGCAGCCAAATATGTTTTTGAACACTGAATTTAACCTACTGTTGAATCTCTCTTTTTTTTCATTTAAATTCAATTCTACAGCAGCACTGGGCTCCCCGAGGATCATGCGCCTGTGTTTACACCGGCTTTACTAAGGAGGTATATCGGCCGATGCCGATATATAAAAAACAGAAAATATTGCCCCAATACATCTGTCCACCCCTAGTTTGTAGTACAGCAGTAAACACGCTATGGCATGTCAATATTTTTACAATTATTTTGAGTCTACGGAAATGGACCAAGACCCATCACCAACAACATTTCCTTTCCAGGATTACATTCGGCTATCGTCATGAGTTGTGTGTTCAGAGGTATAGTATCATTATGGGAACACGGTGCAGAAGAATAGAGTGTGACGAGAGAGCAGCAGGTTAGATATTTGTTCAGTACTAAGTGTTTAGCAGCATTATGACAAATTGGTCACCACCCACTGATGCTTTATTTGATCACGTGGGTATTCGAGAGCTCAACAGTCATCATTCGTTGTTAAAAGGCCCTGAAATATTTGCATTGACTCAATATTTGACAAAACACACGATAATGTAAGTAATGACCAGATTCAGCTACAAATATGTGCTTTATTTAATCCCCTGGAGCATCAACAGCTTAGGCCGGGTCGGTTAAATTAACTAGAAGTTAACTGACCTCCAAACTAATGAAAAAGAGCTGGTTGCTTCAATGCTGGCTAAAACTGACTTTACCTTCTTTAGCATTTGATTTATTCTGAGAAGGAAAGGTGCTTCATGCGGGTTAACGTACTGTCTGGGACCACAGTACTAGACAGAGCGGATGTTTGGCATAATGACGGTGGGATTGAAGTTGATCTGAATGTGGCGCTCTGCAATTAACAAAGTACTCTGTTTTCCTGAGTCAGATCATTTGTGGCCATGCTCATACACACTTGGCTGTGTACGCAATGCATGGGTACATAAATAAATGTGAGGGGGCATTTGGCTTAAAATGATGAGTAAAGGTGATTTTCCTAGAGAGCCTTTTTTTTATTTTGGTGGTTTTTAATTTGACTTTTTAGGAGTTACAACTTTGATAGTGGTCACGTTATCAAAATATATACAGAGATATCTGTTACAAGGCCGTAAAAAGTCTTTTTCAGCAGCTGGAAGGTTTTAAATTCAATTCAATTCAATTCATGTTTATTTATATAGCGCCAAATCACGACAAGAGTCGTCTCAAGGCACTTCACATAATAAACATTCCAATTCAGGTCAGTTCATTAAGCCAATCAGAAATAATGTTTCCTATATAAGGAACCCAGCAAATTGCATCAAGTCACTGACTAGTGTCAGTGACTTTACAGCAATCCTCATACTAAGCAAGCATAAAGCGACTGTGGAGAGGAAAACTCCCTTTTAACAGGAAGAAACCTCCAGAGAATCCTGGCTCAGTATAAGCAGCCATCCTCCACGACTCACTGGGGATCGAGAAGACAGAGCAGGCACACACACACACACACACACACACACACACACACGCACGCACACACACACACACACACACACACACACACGCATGCACGCACGCACGCACGCACGCACGCACACACCAAGTAGTGTTTCTATGGTTACATTGTGATTTCTTGGTAAATATTCTATTTGGTGAGAGATAAACTTTATTGTATTTATCCTAGTGGATCTATAGTTAAACAGGTAAACTAGCAGTAGCACATCCAACGTCAAGGAAAGCAAAAAGTTATTATCAGGAGAGGGAGAATGTTTTAGTGGTTAGCAGCAGTGTGCTAGACGATGGCCCCCTCCATGAGGCCACCACAGCTCGGCAGGACATCATTGTAGCTTCTTCTGGGGGGAAAAGCACTTAGAGAAAAAATAAACAGCTGAAATAGCAGGAAATAATACAGTTAAAGAGCAGATTGTAGAAGAAAGTAGTAATGTGGAAAGTGGTCAGTGTGTCCTCCAGCAGTCTAAGCCTATAGCAGCATAACTACAGAGATAACTCTGGTTAATCTATCCTATTTAGATGGAGGCATGTTGGAGTCAGGGCAAGGGAGAGCCGTCTTTACCGACTGTACACTCCACCTCCCTGTAATCCCCCACTTGTCCAGATCCAGGCTAACATCAGATTTTAACCATAGGCCCTATCAAATAAAAATGTTTTAAGCCTAGTCTTAAATGTAGACAAGGTGTCTGCCTCACGGCAAATCTTATTACGTTTTCCAAAAAGGTTGATAACGAGTGCTTTGAGAAGACATGTGGGAGATTTTATTATTGTTTAGTTTAGTTTTTGTTTTTCACCGCCTAACTGTACCCAAATACTTACAACCTGTTAATGAAATAAGTTTGGAGGTTTTTTTTTTTTGCAGATTTGTCTGTGCAGAGCACTAACCTCTTCATTCTAGCTGCTCGCTCATTAACCACCGTCTAGTTTGTTTTCCAAGTCTTGTGTTGCATCATGTTGCTAATGAGGTAGAGGTAGAAAAAAGAGTTTTCATGCAAATACAAAATATGTCTTTAAAAGAAATAAATATTCTGCTGCTCAGAAGTAGTCTGAGGTCGCTGCACTCTTGTGCTTTTTTATGCCCAATCGAGCAGCAGCAAGCTGCAGCTCCCCGTGAGACTGACTGGGACGGCTGCAGAGGCGGTGGTTGGTGGGGAAATGAGAGGAGAAGAGATCTGGCTGCGATCAGCCGTTACCTGCCTGTGACGGCTCTTGTCTCTCTCAGCAGCTGAGGCTTGTCACAGCGGCTGATGTCCCGCTGTGTCGAAACCACACATGAAAAACCAACCACACACACACCCGTGCCCTCTCGTTCACGCACACACACACACATACACTCATATGGATGCCCTCTCTCCGCTCTACTCTGCCCACTAACCGAGACCACAGTATATGAACACATCCAGAGGCAGGACGCAACCAGCCAACACGTCAGGCAGATATCCCCTAAACCTCAGGAATAATGGAGCCTTTTGTTTTCTGAAGGCTTTGTTCTATCAGGAGAGAATAAAATAGTTTTCTTCCCGTTTGATGTCGTTTCAGAACCGAGTCGGTTGCAGAGAAGATGCTCACAAACTGGTTCGCTTTCCTCCTTCACAAATTCCTCAAGGTTAGTGCGCTGAGCAACACACGTAGGTATTTACGCATGCAGATCGGTGCTTGGGTCTCATTATTAAAGTTTCAAAATTAAATACGTGATTATGCAGGTTGTGTTTTTGGGCCTGACGAGGTTTTGTTTTGATGTCGTGCTCCTCTGTCATGTGTGAACTGGGTGTGTTTGTGTTCACAGGAGTGTGCCGGGGAGCCGCTGTTCATGCTGTACTGCGCCATCAAGCAGCAGATGGAGAAGGGGCCCATTGACGCCATCACTGGAGAGGCCCGTTACTCCCTGAGTGAAGACAAGCTCATCCGCCAGCAGATCGAGTACAAAACCCTGGTAGGTCACACTCCACCGGTCGCGGCAGAAGGGGGCTCAAAGGCTCGCAGGCATACACACCAACGCCAAGCGGCCAGATTTAGACACACACACAAATACTTGGCACGAAAAATGCAGAATTCGACGTCACTCTTTTTTTTATCCCTCTTTTGCAAGTAAAGAATAAACCGTGGTGCCACACGGTGCCATGTTGGTCCAACATCAGTCTAGGTGGTGGTGGAGACTAAAACAAACCACGCAGACTTCTCTTCTGTGACCATGTGCACACATGATGCGCACAGAGAAAGCCCAAAGCTCTCTCACAAGCAGCATGTGACTTGACGGGGCTTTGATTGCTCTGACTGGGAATTTGGCCCATTACGTGCTAATACCCCAGCAGAGCTGGAAATTGGTGTCCCGCCGAAGGTGTGAAATTAGATTTCGGGTTGCCAGTAAGAGCGGAAGCGGCTTCTCAATGCTCCTGCTATGCTCCAAGGAGACTTCAGTGGTGGCAAACCTCAAGCCAGAAAGTCAAGTCAGGAACAGGAAGCCTCGGGCTCCTTTCTCTCTGCAGTGTTTTACTTTTCCTGTCCCGTGCAGATTCTGAACTGTGTGAACCCGGACAACGAAAACAGCCCGGAGATTCCAGTGAAGGTGCTGAACTGCGACACGATTACCCAAGTGAAGGAGAAGATACTTGATGCCGTTTACAAGAACATCCCTTACTCTCAGCGGCCACGAGCTGTCGACATGGACCTAGGTACCACACACACACACACACACACAAACACGCACACACACACACACACACACACTAAAGCACATATGTTAGACACAAGGCCCGCGGGCCAGATGCGGCCCGCGGAGCATTTTTATGTGGCCCGCGAGGTAAATATAAAAAATATATTAAAACTGGCCCACTGGCCGATTTTACTGCAAAGACTTCAACTCCCATGATGCTTTGCGGCGTCAGCGCGGAGCCGACGCACCCCCTCCTTTGTGTTTTTTCCAGCGCCTGCTGCCGGTGTCTGCAGCTCCGCTGTCTCGGACAAACTACACTCCTCTCACTCAGCGCTGAGTTCACTCAGCTGTTTTCTGACGTTGAAGCCCAGAAACGGAGATTCTAGCCGCTCAGTAACGTGTTCACGACTGAAAGAGAAAGTTTTCCAGCTAACGTCCAGACAGAGCTGATATAACTCCAGCGAGCAGCGACACGCTCAAACCAGCACGGCTCTGTGGCTGCTGTCGTGTTTCCTCCCCGACACACAACAACGTGGTCACGCTGCTCAGACATGTTCAGCAGCACAAACCTATGTGAGCACCTGTTGTCATCTAATGTTGTCGTTATTATGATGAAGATGAACAAAACAACAGGAGTCTCCTCCTCAGCTCAGGTCAACCCCATGATGCAGGTATCTGGCTGGAAAAGGTGAGCATCACAGTAAACCAGTGGAGCAAACTGAGCTTTAAATATGTTGGTTTTATGCTCTTTTTCTGCTCCAAAACATGAAAGTTAACAGGTGAGATGTTGCATTTTCATTTAAGATAAAATGATATTTTATTTTGTGATTGGCCTGTGAGAAAAGATTTAACCTACAGTAAACAGGAAGTGGAAAGGCTGCCGATAGATGAATAGAATAGAAAATCCCTTTATTGTTCCTCAGTGGGGAAAGCTAGATGTCACAGCAGCGATGACACGTATTACAGGAGAAAACAGGAGAATAAAAAATAAGAAAAATGAATAAACAAGAAAACATAAATCCTGAATAGATTTTTAAAATGCTGATTATACCACAAGTAATGAATACCACTGATGCCTTTTATTTAAAACTGACTTGCTCGTGTGTAATTAGGTTATTCCACATTCAGTGTTAATGCAGAAATAAGTTAGTTTCCAAATTTAAAGGTTCAAAATTGCATTTATGTTGATAAAGAAAATGTGCAAATTTGCCGTCACTTTTTCAAAAACTATTAAGTTTGGCCCTCGACTCCGTCCCAGAGTTTCATTTCGGCCCCGTGTGAGTCTGAGTTTGACACCCCTGCTCTAAAGACTCACAGATGCAGCTGGCAGGTGGAAAGTCCTTCACACCAACAGATTCATGAATCAATAGAAGAACACCCAGGCATGTACAGATTATCAGTGCATTAGTGTGATAAAACTGTTCCCCAGCAGCGCTGCCAGCATCGGCGTGCTGCTGCCAGGCCTTCGATCAAACTGACTGACAATGTGTGGCGCATCTCCTCGTCTGGCTGCTTCGACTGCCTGGCACTGCCAATGAGACACAGTAGATTTAAATAGAGAAGTGTTGTTGTGGTTTTGTGAGTCCTTTTCTTTGGGTGTCGGTGACGTTGCAGATGCAGGTGAGAGCTGACAGACTGGCTCAGCCATCTTGAGCTAAGCTCAGCTCCCACGCAGTCTGTCACTTCCCTCACTGGTCCATACCTTTCCTTCTAATGCTCTGTCCCTCTGATTTTCCTCCCACTCCACGCAGACGAGGAGAACAATAAGCCCCCCCCCCCCCCCTCCTCCTCCTCCTCCTCCTCCTCCTCCCGCTTGGTGCAAATAAGCACACCATCATTCTCCTCACAAAGCTGCTATCAGATGATTGCATGAAAACGTCACATCAGTCAGTGTGTTTACAAGCAGCCGGTAACCCTTTAAAAACCCGAATATTCACAATAACCCGGATCCGCAGGTCCTTGTAAACACCGCCAGAAACTCGGATATGTTCATAACCGGGGTTTTTAAAAACCCGGTTACTACACCTGGGGTAACCCTTTTCTAACCCGAATGTTTGGTCGTGTAAACGCATACCGGGATATCCCCATCAAAGCGTGTGTTCTGCGCATGCTCTGTTCGCAAGGAATCTTGGTCTTTTGAGTAGCGAGACGTCTTGTATGCGCCAGAACTCCGGAAGTAAACAACAAGTTGGGAGCAACATGGCGAGTCGCGGCACAGCACCACACTTTTGGAGTGACGAAGAAACTAAAGCGCAAACAAACGCGGTCGCTATCTCTTCCGAACTGGGAAACATGTTGTTGTTTTCACGGATACCGGAACAAGAAGAACCGGGAATGAGGCATATTGCGTCTGGACGTAGTCCATACGTACTGACGCTACCCCAACGTCCGCATTTATATCGGGTTATGCAAGTTAGGGGTAACTCTTGCTATTTATGCTTGTAAACGGGTTATTCTGATCTACTCAGAAACCCGAATACCGACCTTAACCCGATCACAACCCGGATATTGGCTGCATGGAAACGTAGTCAGTGTTTCGTCTCCCGTTTACTCCCGGGTTTGAGTGTATAGGTGATGGTAGACAGCTCAGGTGTCATGTGGTGGTGTGAGACACACAACAGCACAACCTCGTCAACAAAGAGGAAAATCAATGATCATTCGCAGCATGAAGCTTGTATTGGTTATCCACTTCTCTGTCAGTATCCTTATTATCATCACATTACCACTCAGTGACCCCATCAGACTGTGACCTCTGCCAGTGCTGCGTATTGCCTCTACCTGCTACCCATGCTTCCCCGTCTCTCTTTTGAAAGAAGGTAATTCTCCTCAGAGCTCATCTTTTTCATTCCGTCTCCTCTTCTCTGTCTCACAATGACGAGACGACTGCTGCATTTGTGACACATGTACCAATTAAAGGGAGCAGCCTGCCTACATATACGTCTAACAATTGTTCATGCGGAATATTAAATTAAGATGTGTATCAATCCCTGTGCAGGAGAAGAGGCACAGGAACAGTGCAGGTATCTACTCTCTTGTGTGCACGAAGAAATCTGTCTCTTTCCATTTTTCAAATAAATTGCCTCGGCTTCTCTGCCTTCAGCGTTCTTTAATCCTGACACTTCAGCCAGTGTTTGTACAGCTATTAATAAGAGCCACCTATCAATAGATGACTCATCATAGACGTGGACGCTATCTCTCACTGAAACAGGGTTTACTTCGTCCTGAAAAGTGGTTACATGAAAACAGTTGCCGAACGTGTACTTGCATATCTTACATGCAGTTGTGTGGAGAGGAAAATTCTGTTAACATAAAAGCTAAAACCAGCTGGATCATCGTAGGATCCAACATAACCCAGCAGGCAGGCAGACCAAAGCCACCGCCATAAAGCTGGGAATCCAAAAGCCTGAAGCCCTTAAAGTCCAAGTTAGCGCAACACATCTGCAGTGGACTCTAGTATAACTGAACGCTTTGTGAGTCAATCTCTGTAAGATAAAAAAAATAAACCCAGGCACTTCTGTTTCAGGAAGTAGAAGTTAGCCATAGCAGAGGGGAGCAAAAGATGGCAGGATTTGAAGTCTTATTTCCTGATATTGGGACATCTCTCCTCTGATTGGTTAGCACTGATGTGACTCTGCTCAGAGCCGTGTCCAGGACTTTTAAAATGGGGTGGCCCATGTGGGACACTTGCATGGGTGGCACCAATGGTTGTGCTTATTTATTTATTTACACAAATTGTTTATTTATTTATTTACTTTCTTCTGAATTTTGGAGTTTCACATTGCACAATCACCATTTTCATCTTCTAGATTTGTGGTGGTTAGCAAGTCACTTCTTGTTGCATTATTGCCACCAACTGGAGCTGAGTGGGACTCTAAATACAATTTATGTGAATATGAAAAAATAATAAATAATATTAATGCTACAGAAATATTCTGTAGGCCTGGGCTAGAAGACAATGTCAAAGGTGCATGCTACCACACACTATTTTTGGAGTTTACAACTCAAGCCTTTTGTTGACAATGTAAAGTCAATTTAAACTGGAACTTAGTAGGGTGGCACCTGGGGTGGCCAATCAGATTCTAAGGGTGGCATGTGCTACCCCAGGCCACTCCCTGGACACGCCCCTGACTCTGCTGCTGACTCTGATTGCTTTGAAAGCTGATGTTTCATCTCCACAAACCACACAAGCCTGGAGGAGTTATGCTGTGTGGTGGAGTTGCTAACGCTAACAGTTAGCTTCTACTAGCCGAGACGTCCTCTGCTGTTTCCTGGACGCTAAACCAGCGACAGCCTTCCCCGTTGTGAGCCAAAATGGTCGAGTCCGTGAATGCTAATGTACAGAGTGGTGTAGAATTCGCTGGCTTTTCTAGTCTGAGTGTTTCCTTGTCTATTTTCTATGGCCGGCTAATGCAGGAAATAGGGGTAGAGGACCATTTTCACATTTAGCCGGCAAGTGAAACACGATCCTATTTCACCAATAAGTTTCCCAGTGAACGTGGTCTTGAATAAGCAAAACATAAACAAAATACACGAAGCAGGTACCTAATTGTGTTTATATTTCTGTGAATTTGTTCCACCAGAGTGGCGCCAGGGACGGCTGGCTCGCGTGGTGCTGCAGGATGAAGACATCACCACCAAGATAGAAAACGACTGGAAGAGACTGAACACTCTCCTGCACTACCAGGTAATTTTAAGTCTGATGTTTTTCCTAATTGACTCTCAAGCTTCACCCTTTCTTGTCAAAAAAAGTCTAATTTCAGCCCAATTTCTGCTGTGGCTTTTATTATGGAAATGGTTCCACCCACACTGGCAAACTTTGATGTTTCCTGCTCTTGACTTTAAGGCAGCCAATTTTCAGCCCCTCATTTGCATGCTCACTCCCGGTGCAATCCGACTGGCTGACAGAATAAAGGACAATCACGGCGCAGGTGGCAGGAGAGGTGAATCCTCAGCATCTCTGCTGACACCGTTCCCTTCTCACCAGAAAGAGGGAGCGTCAGGAGGAAGGCGTCTCTTTACTTTCCTCTTTTTCTACCCCTCTCTGGCTGTTGATCTCTGCTCTGGCAACAATTTGCCTTCCTTTGAGGGCGCGTGAGTTCATTCTCCACCCCCTTGTTTAATAGATGGAAGAGCAGTGAGCTGAACAGGAGGAAATCTGAGCAAGTTTTGCATTTTTCAGGAGAATTTATGGCAGTTGAATAAAGGAGACCAAGGGGGAGTTGGCGGGAGCCAGTGAGAAATAATAAAAAAACGGATAAAAGGACTAAAGAGAGAATCAGAGACAGCTTTCTCTAAAGGTCGTGAATCTTTTGCAGCGTGCACTCAGCTATCCTTCATTTGTCAGCCTGAAGAATACATGAAGTTAGATTACAGGAAGAGGATCTGGCAGCAGCGCAGCCTTGGATAGCATCGGAGGTTGATCCTGCAGGATTAGGAGACGCTGCGCCATCTAGAGGCTGAATAAAGGAAGTGAGATGATGGGGTTGAGCTCCTCACATCAGGGAGTCAGTGAACTCCTGCCCCACAGGAACAAACAGATGTAGGAGTCGTTAGGAGAGGGGACACGTCAAAATGTCCTTCGTGCAGGACTTGGCACCATGCTGCTTCTCCTCTTATCACCCTTCTGTTTCTGACTTTGTTTCCACCTTTTCACATTCCTTACTGTTGACTTTGCTCTAGTTTACTCTTTTACCCATTTCACCTCCTTTTTACCCTTCTCACCTAACGGAGAGCGATGGCAGCTCTTTTTACCTCCACATCATCATACGTCCTTTTCTTCCTCTTACACTAGAAGCACCTCAGGTTGATCTCCGCAGTGTTTTTCCTTGAGAAAGCTGTCCAGGATCTCTGCTTCCACACCGTAATGGGCTCCTCTGTTGTGGTTTTTCGCACTTCTTTCCCTCACAGTCTGTCTGCCATCGTTAGCTAAGAGAAGGCGCTGCCTCGTGTGTGTGTGGCCACTCCACGTTCACCACGGCGCCAAGGCAGATCGCAGGACTGCTATTGATCATGAATAATAGACTGTCTGCATAAAATGCACCATAAGGTCCAATCTCACATCAATTCAGAGGAGCGTTAGGGAAAAAGGAGAGGGAAAGAGAGGGAGCGTAAAGGAAAAGGCTATTTGGAGGAGAGTGGGATCAGAGTAGGATGAAGGGATGTTTTTGCATCGTTACGGTTCTGATGAGCTGGCAGTCGCCCCCTTGTGTGTGTTGGTGTCACACGCCATGGCACTGAACCGCCAGCTGTGACAACACATGTGGCTGCATAGGAAAACATGGAGCTCAGCTCATTAAGCCCAAGAGTGAGGGCAAACGCTGGAGGAAAAATACGTGAACGGGGTTAAGAGGAAACAGTGGAAGGGGCTCGCAAATATGCTACGAGGGTCTGAGCACCGCCGTGAGTGTTTGCTAATTCTCCCGTAGCTGACGCACAGAGGCATTAACATTCATACTGGAGGTTTCACCGCTACCCAAGAAACGCCATCGGCTGTTTACACTGCCACAATGGAAATAATGATTTACACAAGTTGGATGTGGAAATGCACACCTTTCTGCTGAGCTAACGCTGAAAGTGAGCTTTCATCTTTATTCATCACCTTTTTATTCATAGTCCGGGGAACAAATCCTGCCCGGGAGCCGCTTTCTCCTTGCGTTTGGGTTGTTTTTCATTTCTCACAAAGATAAAAACAGACAAATAATGAAGCTCAACCAGATTCTTCCTGATCATCCACAAACACAACGTATGATCTCAGAAAAGCTCCCAGTTCGACTTCGTTGGACTTCATTTTTTTTTTTTTTTATGTCTGGGTAAATTTGAGGATTTGTCCTTTTCCATAAATGTGCAATTAGGTAAATGAACAAGAAATACAATAATAATAATAATGCATTGAACTTATATAGCGCTATTCTAGACACCCAAAGACGCTTTCACACACTCTCACATTCACACACTGCTAGTGATGGTAAGCTACATGTAGCCACAGCCGCCCTGGGGAGGTCTGACAGAGGCGAGGCCGCCTTGTGGCGCCGTCGGCCCCTCTGACCACCACTAACACAGGCAAGTTGGGTGAAGTGTCATGCCCAAGGACACAACAGCAGGATACCCCTGGCGAGAGCTGGAATCGAACCCATGACCCTCTGATCATGAGGCAACCCGCTCTACCACCTGAGCTACTGCTGCAATAAAAGTACTATACCTGATTCTTAGCCTGGCAAGCCAGACTATGTATGTGAATATATAGTCTGGCTTGCATCTTGTATCTTTGCAAAGCAAGAATTTGGTCTAGTTCACTAGGCTACCTGATTCTGGCTTTGACTCTGAAAAATCTGGGAGATTACCTTCTCAAAAACACTCCAAATCAGTGGCTTTGTTTTTCTAATCTGCCCTGTCGAGCTTCATGAACACGCAAAAACTTGGGCTGAGAGGAATGTGGGTGGATCTCTCCGGCACATTGTCAGTAATTACTCTGGTGTTTAGAATAGAATAGAATAGAATAGACTTCATCCCTACGGTGGGGAAATGCACTTGTTACTGCAGCACCAACATTTAGAGAACATGAGGTTTAGAGGTAACGTTTCCATCACGTCATGCTTCCTTGACCCCAGTAAAAGATGACCATCGGCGGGATAGCTGCTCTGCTTTAGCGCACAACCGGATGAAGTACAGAGTGACCTCCCTCTGCCCGTCTTGTGACCTAAACGCCCTCAAGTGAAGATTTAGGGAGAGCCGACGCCGATGACCACCCAAAAAACACAGCCGCGGAGGTCCTTTTACCCACTTTGCAGACGAGCCTGAGGGATTTGGGACTATTTTCAACACCGCCAGCCACAACAGATACTACTGTGTGTTTAATATTCCAACTCTGGGTCCGGTCCTGGCCCCTCTGTTTTCAGTTTTAAATTCTGATATAGTTTGAAAAATGAGGCTCCATGGGAGGAGAGGGTCCGTGTGTGAGTCTGAAAAACGAGTCACACGTTCAGCTGGTCCAGCACCACCGTTGCTCACAGTCACATATGCACAGATTGCCTTTGAGCGACCGGGCCAAATCGAATCCTCTTGATAGGCATCGTGATCCGCAGAGACCAGGAGAGATGGGATACCAAGAAAATGGTTTGGGAAGGGCTGAGAAAAGAAAGATGGAAGATGACCACACGCTGCCATCTGGTTGACTCGCCACTGTCTAATGGAAGGTCTTATCACAGGCGGGGCCCGCAGCCCTTATCACACCTGCCCACTATCAGCCCCACACTGGATTATCCCTGAAGGGTGAATCTGCACGCCTTCAATCATTTACAGCTATCACAAGGACCCATCTCTACTCTGGCTTCTGTCAGAGAGAGAGAGCAAAGAGAAAGAGAGAGGGAGAGAGAGAGAGATGAAGGTAGCTGTAACAGGAGGGGGGGGGGTACTGAGAAGCTATTTCATGCTCCCAGGAGAAAATGTATCACAGGAATAGCTGTGGAAACTTCATGGAAGTGCTGCAGTGATGGTGTATTAGAGCCGCTCTCTGCTCCATCTGCCAGAGAGCGGGCGATAGGATGGAGAGGCAGCAGGAAGAAGGTGCAGGTAAGCAGAGGTGGATGAGGCACGGGTGAGGAAGGAAAGGTCAGCCATGTGAGTTATGGGTCCTGAAAATGATTCTTCAAGATGACATCTTCACTTTTGAGCATTTCTCAAAAGCAGCCAATCATGGATCCTCTAATGCAGGGGTGTCAAATATGCGGCCCGCGGGCCGGATCCGGCCCGCAAGCGGGTTACATCCGGCCCGCGAGATGGTTGTGTAAACTTTATTTTCATACTTTACAATGTAGAGTGAAAATAAACGTATCTTTGTGAGCAAGTTTTCTCTGTAATGAGTATAAATAAAACAAAGCTGCGCTCAAGGCTCACACAAGAACTTGAATCACATCCTGAAGTCGGCCGCCACTCAGGATGTGCCTTCTGATGTTGATGTGCTGGTGAAAGCTAAAAGATGTAAAGTAAAATGAGTCAAATATACTTTAAGTGCTGCATGGAACTGATCTAGCCATGTGATCTGTAAGCTCTTTGGATCACTAAGGAATGTCTTTTATTTTATTTTTTATTCAAATTTTCAAGTACACTTCAGGTGTTGTACTTGTACTATTTTGGATACACTGTCCTCAGGCTCCAGCTTTGTTTTATATTGATTGTATTAAAACAAAGAAAACAATCTGAAGTTGTCTTTTATTTACCGGTCCGGCCCACCTGGGACTAGATTTCCATCAATGTGGCCCCTGAGCTAAAATGAGTTTGACACCCCTGCTCTAATGGCTCGGTCCTGATCCGGGTCAGTTCACCAGAGGAGTTGAGTCACCTGCTTTGCCAACACAGCATGTAAACAAGACCCTCTCTGCAGAAGGAGAAAGGGGAATAATTGCCAGTTTCTCTGTCGTTTATTTGAGGAATGTCTTTGCAGCCTGGCATTTGCCTTTTGTTTACTTCTCCAGCCGAGGCTCGTCAGTTTTCCCTTGCAGAAATTCCTCCTCAGGGCGAGCTGTAAATGCCAGCCACCTAGCTCTTTGTTGTCCGGGTTGTCTGGAGAACTGTGACTTCTCCTTGTTTAGCTGCGTTTCTCGAGCCCAAGTGTTGCGCTGCACTAACAATTCATTAATTAGACAGTTGCACTGATGGAATATTTCCTCTAGAAACCGTCCCGTCGCGCTCGTTTTAAAGGCGCTCTCTCAACCGTACGACGCTCTTGCCCTTCACTGGCTCAGTGAGAACACGCAGGACCAGCACCCTTGAGTCACAGAGGGGAAAAGGATAAAACTGAGTGGCAGTCTCATCTTTTAACACCTCATCCCTTCTTCTCAGACTGTGCTGCTTTATTGCTATTATTATACCTGCGTGCTCTGTATTTAGGGAAGTGAAGTACACTCAAGATGAGACAGCATCTTGTCTCTTTGTCTTGCCTTCTGACAGCTTCTTTTTCTCCTTCCCCTCCCTCTTAGCATCTTTTGCCAGATCCAATGCTTGCTTCATGTCTGGGAGGTCTGTGAAGGGATGACTATGACAATAGCAGTCATGCTACTACAGCTATCCTGCAGCTACGGCGCTTTGCCGTGCTAGGCTACAGCTGCGGGCCTGTGGTAGAGAACAATAGGGAACACAGATTTGACACAAAGGATTTGAAGATGCATTTTGCTGAGGGAGTTTTTTACTCGTGGTTTTACATCTTTTTTTTTTCCCTTGGTGGTAGGAAGTGTTTGTGTTATACACAAAAGGAGCAAGCAGCTTGTGGGATTGAGGGATAAACTCGCCTTTGAACGGATTATTTTCACACTGAAGGAATGCACATGGGACTGTTCTTAACCTGTGTAATCTAACAAGATTTACGCTACGTGTTTTTGTCCCACAGGTGTCGGACCGCAGTGTGGTGGCACTGGTGCCTAAGCAAACCTCATCATACAACATCCCTCCATCAGCCAGCATATCACGGGCCTCCATCAGCCGATACGGTAAGCCAAGAGACCACGGTTTATTTAACATTAAAAAGACATTTTCAAAATTACAAAAATAACATGTAGTCTTGAACTTCTTTTCGGGCTGCTCAGTTATAGAAAGCACCCTAATGACTATTGTTCACCAGGATGAACCTCTGAGTTGAGACGCATCTAGAGTCCACATTTTAACAAGCCTGCAGGCACTGATTCACTTCATCAGGTGGGAGAGTCGTGCTGTTTTATCACATCAGAATCAGCGTAGGCTATTGTGAACGTTACCGGCCCATTTGGAATAAGAAATGAATCAGATGAATAGTTCAGTAACGTTCAGACCTGAGCTTGACACTGACTGACTAAACATGCTTTCCTCACACCGAACGGGGGCAGACAGAGCTGCTGTTTGGACGCAGAAAAGATCTTCTATGGAGGTCCATATGTGAGATCAAAAGGTGTTTTATTTAGGTTTTTTTCAGGGGCATTCATGCCCAGAATTAGAGCTGCAAGTCAAATACACAAACTATGCGGATCTCATAACTGAAGATAACAGAGGCCGGTGTGTTTTGCCCTCCTTTTGCCTTCTTTAATTATGCTGAATTTTAAAACACAAGACGTGTGTTTAGCCTTCCTTCATAAGAACATGCTTCCAGAACTTCATTTCATTTTCTGCAGCAGCGTATCTGCACACAGGGTCGCGGGGGGCTGGACTCCGGTCAAACCGGCGAGGCAGCCTACATCCCGGACAGGTTGCTAGTCCATCACAGGGCAACTCAAAGAGATACAAGCCAAACAACTAACCAAGCACGCACTCACATCTAAGGACAGTTTAGAGACCAGCTACCTGACTGCGTTGTTTTTGAACTTTGTGAGGAAGCCAGAGAACCCGGAGAGAACCCACTCATGCACAGTGCTAGCAAACCACGCTGGGATTTGAACCCAGGACCTTCTTACTGCAAGGCAACAGCACTGACCACTGCCCCACTGTGCTGCCTACATCCAGAACTGAAATGGGGAAAAAATATTGTAATGATAATTGTTTTATATTGTGATTATTTGGAGAGAAAAAAAATAAAACTTTAAAGGAAGTAGGTTTATTATGCAGCAAGATTATTCCTACCAGTTCATTCAGGACAGATTCACCCCCTTCAAACCCCTCCGTAGAAACTCAAGGTATCAGAATCAGAAAAACTTTATTTATCCCCGAGGGGCAATTAAAAAAATAAAAGCAGAGCAGCATGATGTTGGACATACAAACATTGAATAAATAGGCAATAAGGAAGTAATAAAGCAGCAAGAAGATGGATAAAACAGTAAAAATGCAAAAAACACTGAGTAAGTGAATAAAGTGTCATCTGTATAAAAGGGTTTATCGGGGATGGTCTTATCTTATCTGCTGGAGTTAAAGAGCATCAAAGGAGGGTTTTCATTCTGAAACAGTGTGAGCAGTTTGACTCTGACATTGTAGGTCCAAACCGAATGATGCAAGAGTGAAATGAATATGGAGAGAAAGAGAATGTGATCTCCAAAAGTCATGATGGAACTGTTGAGAGAGAGAGAGAGAGAGAGAGAGAGATGTTCACTGATTTTTGTGGAAGTGTTTTATGTTTAGATTTAGAAAAAGCCCACTCAAACCTACTGTGGGTCGAGCGAGCTATCCACCACCTACTGCCTCGTGTACCTTCTTCCAGAAAATAAATACGTACATAGATAGTATCTGCTTCCAATGGCAGTCTCCAGCAAGCAGAGAAGGCTCCGCCCACAATTAAATCCATGCTCTGTTGGGGTTTGACTGAATGAAAATTCAGAATTTTACATTTTTCCTCAACTAAAGTTGTTCCAAGACTGTTCCATTGCCTCCAGGCCAGCGAAGAACAAACAGCAGAACAATTAACTGAGCGGATGAGCAGAAAGATGGAGTGTAGTATTTTAAGTCTGACCTTGTTTAATATGGGTTCTCGTAAAACTGTTGTTGTTCTTCACCGTCTGCTAAAGACTCAGCTTCACCTGCTCTGGTGCATGATCTTTATCCATACTTAGCAGTTAGCTCGTAGCTTGTGTCTTATTTATGTAAAGAGTAATAATGGTCTCATGTATGCTATTCCTAATTATTCTAACAAATAATATCAATTAAAATATTTTTATTAAATAAGTAAAATATCTACAAACTTCACAGAGAGCATCAACAGTAAAGAAACATCAATAGGCAAAGAAAGAAAAGCTTTTCTGGACTAAATATTCTTCCAAAACTTGTATTTTTACTTGACAGTTTTGCATTTCCTGTATGTGATGTAGTTTTAGCACAAAATGAAAGTTTTTTTTAATGACAAGATGAAGTGAAACAAACTTTTAGGGTTCAAACTAATGGTGGGCATGAGTGAAATAGGCTGCAACTTCATTTAAACAAAATATAACACTGAGGCGCTAAAATAAGTTTTTAAAAATGGCAAATTTAGCAAGAATTTTCTTCACTAAAAACACATTTTTACACTAAGCGCAATATTCCACTACTGCGTCCTTTTTACTTCATTAGATAGATTAGATTATTAGATTATATTTTAATAGCACCTGCGACGGACTGGCTCTCTGTCCAGGGTGTACCTCGCCTGATTGCCCATTGACCGCTGGAGATAGGCACCAGCCCCCCCAACCCCCGCAACCCTACGTGGACAAAGCGGGTTCAGACAATGGATGGATGGATTTTAATAGCGCCACCTTGTTCAGGTTGAATCTGCGTCTTCTTTAAGCCTTTTTAGAAAATAAAATATCAGATACTGATAAAAGTGTCTTCATATCAGGACCCATCCTGAAATCCCTGTTGTTTGTATGATGATTAAAAATAAACAGCATGTCAGGAAAGTCACTGCAAGCAGCCATTGTTGCATGCTCACACACACACACACACACACACACACACACACACACACACACACACACACACACACACACACACATCCATGATGTAGTTTATTTTGTTTGTTGCCAAAATTGGACCTTTGCCAGACTGACACAGCAGTAGCAGCACCAGGCGACTGGTGATTGCTCATTATTCCGTGTGAATGACGCTTCACACAAACACGGAAAGATACGTGAGCGTGGCCAATTATCAGGATTGGAGATGGGAGGCGAACACTGCCTTTAAACCGCCTAACAAGCTGAGAACACCCTCATCCCTCCGAGCAATTAAGTTTATTTGCAAATATCACACACACAGAGAGAGGGCTACCTGTGAACGCTGGGTGAAATAACACCACTGCTTTCTGTGCATCCATGTTAGAATAAGGTGAAGTGACATTTATTAACAGAATTTGCAAAAATGACCTTTAAAAAAATTGCAGTCATTATTTCCTTTTTAAAAATGACAGAAGTTCTACTGGGAAAGACAAGAGGATGATGACAATGATCAGTAGAAAAGATGTTTCTCCCTCGGTTATGGCTGATAGGCAGGAGACGCTCTGCTGGCAGGAGCCCGGCCCTCATCCATCATAGTTTGGAGCAGAAGGCACAGCTGCACCTCAGCACCTGCTGATGGATTCATACCAATTTCATGTTCAACATTAAGCATCTTGACTCATTATACACCACTGGTGCAGCCATCTTGTTAAAAAGAAGGAAAATAATCAAAACCAATGAAAAAGTTAGATAAGTGCTTAGAAAAAGCGAGGTGTCCAGGGAGGATCAAGGTCCTGGGGAATAGCTGAGCAGCCAAAGCCAGTGACTAGATTAGGACAGGATTTAGGATTTCAGGCTAACCCCTCCCTCACAAGCGACCACTGCAGGAGCGCAGTCGGGTTTTATTTGAAAGGTACGAGGGGCCAAAATGGCAGCAAATGCTTTGTTGTTCTGCTCGGCCTTTGAAGTCAGGTGTGAGGGATCTTCACTGGAATTCCCAGATCCTGACCCTCTAGGGAACCGGCTGCTGACTAATTAAGGGAACTGAAACAGGCATCATTCTTAGTGAGTGTGGAGGGAAGAGGCAGGGCCGAGGGAAGTGGGGGTGGGGGGTCTGAAGGACCGTAGTTTGGTGATCTTTGATGGTGACTGAGATTCTTGGTGTTGTTTCAACATGGAGTTCATAGAAGAGCCAATTACGAGGGCTTTCAAGTGGAAACAGGCATCACCATGAGGCAGGGATTATGTAAGAAGAGAGAACGAGTGATGAGGGGAAAAAGCTGATTATTATATCATAATTCATGATGGAGAAAGAGAAATTAAACTGTGAATAAAAAGAGGATTAAATATGCAGGTCTTTTGTCCTGCATGCCTGTGTGTGTGTGTATGTGTGTGTGTGTGTGTGTGTCTATGTGCGCACAAGCGCGTGCATATGTTTTATTAATTTATTTATTAAACCGGACACATTAAAAACATCAACAACTGAATAGCTTCTCCAGCCAACCCAATCCAAGGTGTCTTCCCCAGCTAATCGTCACCAAATGATGAAAACTTTAGAATGAGATCAAGTCCGTCGTGGTCGTCGGTGAGAGTCCAGCAGCGGTTGTACATTAACTCATTCACTGCCATCCGTTTCCTGATCGCTAACGGCCTTCGCTGCCAGCGTTTCTCACCGTTTTTACTGTTTTTTCAAGAGTCACAGAACGTTGCGCGCTAGCATGATGTTGACGCCAAAACAACCAAAACGAAGAGGAGACTCACCTCTTACATCAGGAAGAAGCCGAGTGTTTCGAGCATTATCCGTTCTTTCATAATCCGTTGTCGAATTGTGATCGGCAGACGCTTTTCCGGTTCGCCCCTCACTTTTTTTACAGGAACGGCCCAAAACGATCTCCAAACACATGGATGTGTTGCTTCCTGATCATGTGACGTGTGACGTATGCAGATGGACTGGCTCTCTGTCCAGGGTGTACTTCAGGGCTGAGATGTTTGTTCTCTCAGCGCGGGGGCTCGTTCCGATGCTCAAACAGTAAAAAAATGCAAATGACGACTTTAGTCGTCATTGGCAGTGAACGGTTGGATCTAAAATGACGACTTTAGTCGACATTGGCAGTGAATGAGTTAAACAAGGAGCTGAAGGAACTTAACTGAACAAATGTCATTTTGGTTTATAGAATTACATCAAGCCGTGGACAACGTGACTCAAACCTTCTACATGTTGCTCTTTTTCATCACGAAAGGAGGAATTTAATCATTAGAACTCTCCATCTCTGGTTTCTCCTGTCGTGGACAGACTCCTCTTTCCGCTACACCGGGAGTCCAGACAGCCTCCGCTCGCGTGCTCCCATGATTACACCGGACCTAGAGAGTGGTGTGAAGGTGTGGCACCTGGTGAAAAACCACGAGCACGGAGATCAGAAGGAAGGAGATCGAGGCAGCAAGATGGTCTCTGAGATTTATCTGACCCGGCTGCTTGCTACTAAGGTGTCTACATCTTTAATCTTGCTCTTGTGTTTTTAAGATTACTGTTTTCTAGTAGTTTCCTTTTTGGGGGGGGTCTCTTTTACTCTCTCAGCTGCTATTATATTGTGTATTATCAATCCTCTACCAGGGTACGCTGCAGAAGTTTGTCGACGATCTGTTTGAGACGTTGTTCAGCACAGTCCATCGAGGGAGCGCGCTTCCTCTGGCTATCAAGTACATGTTTGACTTCCTGGACGAACAGGCAGATAAACACGGCATTTACGACACAGACGTGCGCCACACATGGAAGAGCAACTGGTGAGATTCTCCTGGTAGAACACATTTCTACAAATAAACCTCTTTTTCCTGTCCGTCCCTCACTGGCTTCCTTTGTCTCCGTCTCCCAGCCTTCCGCTGCGTTTCTGGGTGAACGTAATCAAGAACCCACAGTTTGTGTTTGACATTCATAAGAGCAGCATCACGGACGCCTGTCTCTCTGTGGTGGCTCAGACTTTTATGGATTCTTGCTCCACTTCAGAGCACCGACTGGGAAAAGACTCCCCGTCTAATAAGCTGCTCTACGCTAAAGACATTCCCAATTACAAGAGCTGGGTAGAAAGGTAGGAGCCGTCACTTTTTACACACCCTGTTCCTCACTAACTCACTTCTTTTTGTCTCCTCTTGCAATAAAAACCAGGGTCTTTGAGAAAATTGATTCATAAAGCTCTTTTTTTCCTCTGTACACGTCTCAGCTAGAGCCTGTAAAAGCACTTTGTGAGTGAATGTGAGCACGCATTGTCAGTCCGAGTGGAGTAATGGCTCTAAAATGTGACTATAAAATCATCCAAACCTCAGATAAATGACTTTATTGGCTCAGTCAGTGATTCAAAGTGTTGGATGTGTTCTGCGTTCCCAGGTACTACGCTGACATCACCCGCATGCCGGCCATCAGTGACCAGGACATGAATGCTTATTTGGCTGAACAGGCCAGGCTTCACTCCACGGAGTTCAACATGCTCAGCGCTCTCAACGAGATCTACTCCTATGTCAGCAAGTACAGTGAGGAGGTAGGCGAGATCCACACATGCAGGTGGTGGGCTTCGGTTCTGATCCAGGTGTCACGTTTAAAGATGCAACATATGTTTTTTTTTTTTTTTTTTACTTTTATCTGTGAACAGTTCTAAATAAATTAACTTTACTTGCTAAAATCTCTGATTGGAATATTTAAAAAAATACTAAAAATGTAAATAAAGAAAGAAAGAAATATAATGAATACGCAAACTAAAATTGTTTTCATTTGGGGCTATTTAGTAACAATTATAGAAAAACAAAGCAATTTTAAAGGAAAAGGACAAAATCTAACCAGTGGGTTCAGCCCGGTCTGTTTGGACTATGGAGGAATTTTTATGAGTTTCTCCTAAAGCAACATTTGGAAGAACATGAATCAACCAAACAGCCTGTCACCCATCCAACCAGTCATCCAACCAACCACCCTGTCATCCAACCAATCAACCACCCAAACAACCAACCAACCACCCTGTCATCCAACCAATCATCCAACCAACCACCCTGTCATCCAACCAATCAACCAACCAATCATCCAACCAACCACCCTGTCATCTAACCAATCAACCAACCAATCATCCAACCAATCACCCTGTCATCCAACCAATCAACCAACCAATCATCCAACCAACCACCCTGTCATCTAACCAATCAACCAACCAATCATCCAACCAACCACCCTGTCATCCAACCAACCAATCATCCAACCAACCACCCTGTCATCCAACCAATCAACCAACCAATCATCCAACCAACCACCCTGTCATCTAACCAATCAACCAACCACCCTGTCATCCAACCAATCAACCAACCACCCTGTCATCCAACAAATCAACCATCCAAACAACCAAACAACCACCCTGTCATCCAACCAATCATCCAACCAACCACCCTGTCATCCAACCAATCAACCACCCAAACAACCAAAAAACCACCCTGTCATCCAACCAATCAACCATCCAAACAACCAACCAACCACCCTGTCATCCAACCAATCAACCAGCCAATCATCCAACCAACCACCCTGTCATCCAATCAATCAACCATCCAAACAACCAACCAACCACCCTGTCATCCAACCAATCATCCAAACAACCACCTTGTCATCCAACCAATCAACCAACCAAACAACCAACCAACCACCCTGTCATCCAACCAATCAACCAGCCAATCATCCAACCAACCACCCTGTCATCCAATCAATCAACCATCCAAACAACCAACCAAACAACCAACCAACCACCCTGTCATCCAACCAATCAACCAGCCAATCATCCAACCAACCACCCTGTCATCCAACCAATCAACCATCCAAACAACAAACCAACCAAGTAATCATCCAATTAACCAACAAATCATCGATCCAACAACCAACCATTCAACCAACCAATCATCCAATCATCAAACCAGTCAGCCAGCGAATAAATCAGGCAATTATAGCAACCTAAAAATGCCAAAACTTGGTCAGTTTTACAAATATTTTATTACATTTTCAAGTGGTAGTGGCTGAGAGTCATTACTGATATCTGTGATCTGTGTGCTTTAGATGACACAAACTTCTTTTTCAAAATTTGAGCGAAATGTGTCTAGCTCCATTATTCATCAAAGAAACAAAACAAAAAAAAACATCTCTTTTTTAAACTCTTGCATTGAATGCAGCTGTTTGTGTCCAAATCTCCCAGGAATGCTGGAGATGCAATAAAGAAGAGTTTTGTTATTTAGCTAATAGCTTTGCTGCAAGAATGAATATGAACAACCTATTGTACATCAGAAGTTCAGCTACTTACAGTATTTTCTTCTAAAGCTTGTCCTTGGTACTATTAAACTACCAAAAATGAGAATGTCAAAGGAGGGGAAAGGGCAGTGGTGCCATGTTGCTTTTTATATTTCTGAAGGTCATTTAGGAATTTTCTCAGTCATTGTTGTTTCTTTGTTTGGACTCATCCCAAATCATTTTGCTTATCTGGACAATCAAATATTCCATAATGATATAAAAGACAGGAATGCAGGTACGGCAGTAATACGAGTCAAAGATGTGGAGAAAATGTGCCCAATATTGTCAGGCCCTTGGTGTACCTGCGCTCATCAAGGCAAAGGTCATACAGGTCGGTGGGTCTTCCAGCAGGCCTCCCCAGAGGCCCGGAGGTGTGGTGAGATCCTAGTTTAACAAGACAGTACATTGGATGTGAGCAGAAGAAAGTGTACGTCTACAGGCTGTCAGCACGCCGCAGCGTGTGGAGTTACAGGTAGACGCAGCAGGTCTCTCATGAGCAGAATCACAGCAAACGTAGAAAAGGAGGAGGAAGGAGAACGAGAGCATTTATGGAGACATTCTGGTTCTAATGTCAGCTCTACTTCTGGGAGGCTTTAGTCTGACCTTTATGTTCAACTACACTATCTCCCTCCCTTTCTTCTTTCTTCTTATTGTCTCTCTTCTTTCTTCCTATTCACTCCTTCTTTTACTCATTATCCAGTCAGCCTCCTCTTTTGCTCCGCGTGAATCTTACACACTGACTTCTGCTGCCTCTGCAGTTGTCCGGTGCACCCATTCATGGAATATTCCCATTTTCACACACACACACTGCATGTGCACCATTCCTAGCACAGCCTCCTGCAGGGAGCTGTGTGAAAATCATCATCAGGCACCATGAGTGGTTTACTCAACCCTTCACAAAGGCTAGCATGTCAGGCTAGCCTGGGCCGAAGCAGCAGCATTCCTAAATGGACTTGCTTGGAGGAATACAGATTAATAATAGATCATAACCAAGGCCCAGAGAACACATAATGCCTGGCACTGCCAGCCTTTAAGAGCACTTAAGCAGATGAGTGGAAGATGGTAGTTTGCATAGACAGATACTTTGTTTTGCATCAGTGCACACAGCAAATAAATGACTGCTATTCTAAAAAAGGCATCTTTGGATTTGTTTTCCAGACAATGAATTTTTACAGCATGCTGTGAGAGTCTCTAGGACTCAGAACCCTCCAAAGTCTTCTGAAGCAATGATGTGGTCGTGTTTCATAGAAAAACAGTCGGTTCTGTCACCCGAGGCATGCTTCTGATAAAAGCACATCAGTTAAAGCTCTAGCATTTCCTAAAACATTGCATATAAGCTGCCACCTTTCATGTAAGTTTTTTTTAAACCAGGATCCTGTTGTTTAAAAATATTAGGAGTATTTTGGTCCATAATCACATGCTGTTGTCACACAGTCAGTGTTGGGTAAGATTCTCAACTACTAACGAATGAATGCCTCCGATCGTTGTGAGACGGAGTGGTCTGTGCGCGACTGTCAGGAGGAAGTATTACATAACCGTCAAGGCACCTGTAAATATTGGCGGGGACTAATTTGTGAAAGAGGATGAAAAAAATAAACAGCGCTACAGAAAAGTGAGGAACTTAAAATCCTTCCCACAGGAGGAAAGAACCGCCATAAATCTGGCTATTTGGTAAGTAGCAGCTACGTTTTGTGGTGACGTCATATGGGCAATGTGCCGAGTTGTGGTGTGTAGTCATGATAATTACGGACTGGCGTGGTCGAAACACCCATCATTACTTTTCATTTAAATTGCATTACAGCATGTGTGCGATCCAGGGCGAGAGGCAAAGCGGATTAGAAAAAATCGGTTTTGACTTGCATTCGTTTTTTTTGTTCTTCCGGGGACCCGTGAGCCGACCGGAAAGGGAGAAGACTAACCCCAAAATTCCACTATCTCCGCTCCGCCCCCGCCTTCTGCAGCCGCTCGCTTCCGAACTCAGTTTTTACTGGTACCCGCTCTACAACGTCTCCGCTCCGGTGCGGAGACCTGAGGTGCGCAAACAGGCACGCGCGGGATTTTCGAGATCTTACAATACAGTCCGAGCAATAAACGCGGAAGTTAGATCCAAACGCCCGTTGTGTGGGAGAAGGTCGAAATGAGCTGTTTAATCTGCCCATCATGTGTGTTGAGAGATCAGCAGTGTTTGGATCAACAACGTGTGACTACTTTGATAGTAGAAACTGTATTTATGGCTTACTTTTGTGCATTTAAACTTCAGCCGCCATTGATAGTTGTTAAAAGTTGTTAAACCTGTGCATATGAAACAAAAAACGCTTTTTGTTTATCGATTTATTGTGAAATAACGGAAGTTGTGCTTGCTCCCTTTCCTGTTGGGCGGTTGTGATTTCTGTCCATTGACTGCAGAGGTGCTCCGGCGTCCGGCAAAAATAGAATCGATCCTACTTTTGCCGGATGGCAGAACCGCGGGCGGCACACTGCGCCGCACGGCCGCAGTAGTGGAACAGCTCTGATTGACTACAACGAGACCGATTTTGCTGCGGAGTTCGTGCCGGAGCGGAGCGGAGGTAGTGGAATTTTGGGGTTAGGCTCCCTATGTGCTGCAGCTGAACCTTGATTTGAAGAAAAACATGAACTGAAATCTCAATTTCTGCTAGAAAAACTAACACAATTCAATCTTTCAATCTGAAATTGTTCAGTTTTAGTAAAATAAAGATGTTTAAACACAAAGATGAATTTGTCATTTTTTCTGTTCTTGATTAAAAGCAGTTGATTACGGAATAGCGTAAAATGGCCAGGGCCGCACTTAAAACATGTTTTGTACATTTTTTAAATACGTTTTTTGATCATTATCGATATCAATCAATATGACTTATTTTTCTATCAATAACATTTTTTCAATATTGTCTAGCCCAATTAACAAGGCTGCCCAAACTTTAGCATCCCACCGTAACTAAAGTTGTCTTAACTGAGGTCGAGTCGCTGTGCCTCGGGTTGACTCCAAAAGTTCATCTCTGCAGATCTTCTGATTATCTCCTGAAAATTAAATCCATCCAACTGAACGGGTCGACTTTAACGGCGAACGGTTGAATGAAAAGCAACACTGGCACTCTTAATCTTACAATTTGCAAAAATTGTGCTAGCTAATATTAATTTAATTCATTACTCAGTCATAACAGATTTTTCCAATTAAACTTCTCTGAATCATCCTGACTATGAGCAGCAACAATCCTTTTTAGCATCTGAAAATACGACTCAGCACGGATACATTGTTCAGTGCAGTTGACATTTTACTGCCAAATTCATATTTCATGTATCACTTACCTAAGCATTTACATATTTTACATTGCATAACTCGTAAGGTGGCTGAATGAATTATTTTTGCTCTATGTATCAATTATTAAGGCCTAGTCCACACGTAGCCGGGTTTTTTTAAAAACAAATATCCGCCCCTCCAAAAACTTGCATCCACACCACCTCATTAAAAAAAAAAACAACTCTGTCCACACGTACCCGGATAAATACGTTGTTAAGGACATGCCAGACCTGTAGGCGGCAGTACTTCCCCCGTTCTTAACCTCGTCCTTCGTCTGTGGTCTTCCGCAAGGAGCAGTAATTCTGCTTGCAAAAACAAACAAGCAGAAAGCGCTTGGACAACTGATAAAGCGAGCGCAGCTCTGAGGGCATCCATGCTGTCGGCTAGTGTAAACACAGGTCGCACACGTGATGTCAGCATTTTTTTGTCGCGGAAAGTGACGTTACGGACCTTAAAACTCCGGTTTTGTCCGTCCACACGCAGACACCCAAAACGGAGAAAACGCAGATCTTCACTTTGGCCGGAGTTTTTAAAAAGATCCGTTTTCGTGTGGATGACAGGCCAAAACGTAGAAAAATATCTACGTTTTGGCAGATCCCCGGCTACGTGTGGACAGGGCCTAAGTGTAGTGCATCAGTCTAGTGTAGCTGGAAGAGCAAACAAATACGCAGCTGCCATTCAGAAAAACCACCTGCAACATTTCAATACAGTGATGCATACCTGAGGAAATGAAGGCATCCAGTTGGTATTCATAAAAAGAGGCCTCCTTGTGGATGTTGGTGTCACGCTGACAGAGATGCATCCCGACAAGGCAGACGCTCGATGCTTTTGAACGTGACGAATGCTAAAATTTAAAAGACAGACTTCAGGAGATTAAACAGGAAAAGGCTAATATGCTAAAGACCTTATCTTCACCGTATAGCAGCGCTGCTCTGTTCAGCGACACGTTTCGTTTGTTTATGGCTGCTCGTTGTTTTTCTGCACAGATCGTTTCGGCCCTGGAGCACGAGGAGCAGGCGAGAAAGCAGAGGTTGGCCTACAAAGTGGAGCAGCTGATCTCGGCCATGTCTCTGGAGAGCTGAGGGTGAGTCCTGCTAGAACGGAGACTGGACTCTGCAGGAACTCCCCCCCAAAAAGTCATTACTTACCTCTCATCGTGGGACCTTGAGCCACAAACTCGACCTGGGACCTCTGCATCTACAGACGTAAATTAAAACACTGAGCTGCTTTAGTTTGATATCCTGCCACCCAGCTTTTCGCGCTGGCACCCACGACAGGTTGGACATCGAGGCTCTGCAGCCGGAAACGGGAGGGACGTCGACAAGGAAAGCGACAACGTGGCTTTTGTTTTGTTTTGCATTGTTTTCATTGAGTGTTGGTTTCTTTTTCTCAAGGGATATTTTTTGTAGATTTGGCAGGAAATTGCATGATGTGTGGGTGTTCACGTGTGTGGGTGTGCATGAGTGCGCGTTATATTGAGGAAGACTCCCGCAAGACTGTGAAAGCAAACGGAGGAACAGGTTTAGCCTCTACAAAGGCACAACTCACTCCTGGGTGCGAAGCAGAGAAAACGAGGGAGGGGGACGAGTGAGCTCACGTCGGACGGCTGTGTGTGCATTCTCAATTCTCAGATTTTATTTTTGTACGCTGTAAATGTGAGTATTATCAGTTGCAGTTAAAGAGGAATTGAAAACAATCCAGCGGGTGTCCCGGGTGACATTGGACTGACGCTTCACTACATGAAAAATAACTGCTTCATATTTAATCAGACGTGTACAGAAAACGTTGACCTCGTCTTTTAGAAGCCGATGGAGCTCATCTTGTTGGGGTCAAAGTTCAGCCAGCATGCATGCACCTAAACACGAGGATGTTGACGGTGATTTAGTTAGAGACAAATCTGCATCACTCTGGTGTCTTTAGCTGCCAGGTCCTCTGTGTATGTACTGTTTTACAATTACCAATAAGTGTTTGTGAATGTACTATTTTTTTTGCTTTTTTGCTTGTTTATGTGTCTGTTTGCAACAAATTAGAGCTCAGTTGAGCTGAGCTTCGTCGATATTTGCTGCAGACCGTCCTGTGAAGAAGCCCTGAATGCGTCCAACCTGTTTGGTAGTTTCATTTTTGCTGGAGGATCCTGTGACTCTGCAGCATGGTGAGAATGCCCCAAGCCCCCTGAATTTTATGCATGCACGATATAACGCACCAGAACTATAAATGGGTCCGTTTTTAAAAATAAAGTGCCAATTATTCATGCCTAGGTTAGTTGGCCGGTGGAGATTTGACTGTATTCGAGGAAAGATCTCATCCAACCACCACTTAGCCCAGATGATGAGAACTCTGTGTGGGTCGAGTTTGACTAAGTGCCAAAATATTCTAGTGTTTCAAACTAACGTGTCAAAATCGGTTTATGCTTTACAGAGGACCTGTTTAGAGCTGGAATGGTGTTTTCTGAATGGTACGGAACATGATCAGAAGAAAGCCAGTTGCTATCCGAATGCATCTCCTGACTGAAACCAAACAAGCCGATTCAAGCTTCCAGATGAAGCTGGACAGGAACAGAGAGCCGATTTCATTTTCTTCCAATACAGTTTGCTTATTGTTTCCAACAAGTACTTGAACATAGGTAGTTTTAAAGGTTTTGTACAGTAAATAGCAGTTGTGTGTGCTGAAAGCATAGAAAAATTGAGTGAAAGGTGCTTCTTTTCACCATGGCCTTAGATCCCCACCTGCTTTATGCCCCTGATCTTATCGGATCTGTGTCAGGGGCTTGGTCCTGTTGCGGGTTTTCAGCGATACATGGCCTCAGTGCTCAGCTGAGGAGTGTGAGATGAAGTTAAAGGAAAGGTGAGGAGGGTACGGCCCAGCTGAGGCAGGCATTGCCTCACGCGGCACTCCGCTGGCGTGAGCTTTTTGAAGAGAAGTGCTGAGAAATGAGGCGGCGATGGAGAGGTAGAACTAGAGAGAGCCTTTAGCTCTGGTTTCCCGCTCTGGCTTTGAAGCCGCTCTTTGATCTGGGCCAGTTGTGCTCAGAGTGTGATCAGGAGAAAACATCAAAGTTTGAGGCAGGGAGAAATGTTGGCTGAGGGGAGGGACTGGAGCGTTATTACTGTGTCTGGCCAGCGGGGGCAGGACTCGTAGGGAGAGGAGTTGGAAAAGGTCTGGAAAAAGCACCTGCAGATGGAAGCGCAGTGCCCACACACACACACAAACAAACACAAATAAAGACCGTAGGTCGTGATTCTGGCGTAATGAAGCTCATTTGGGCTTAAGGGTTCAAACTGGAGAAAATGCGCTACACATTTTAATATTCGACGCACGTTAAATTTAAATGCAAGAAAACATAATGTGATTTGAAACTGACAGATTTTTGCAGGCCGAAGTCAACAGTAGTTCACAAATTCTGTTTAATACGATTTTCTCTTAAGCCAAATTGATTTTTTTAGTTCCTCTAATTATGAAATATGAGTTAGGATGCATCAGAATCACGTCGTGTCAATATTTATTTGTGTTTGATTATTTGTGAGCACATTTGTGAATACGGTTCACTTCACTGTCATTTATTTTCTTCTTAATCTACTAATAAACAGTCCAATAGGTGCACACACACACACACACACACACACACAACCTAAAGCTTCTTCCTTTTGAATTAAAGGTGTCTTCCCAGTTGCAGCGACTAGAATTGTATCCTCCTCATACCTCACATTGCTTGTTTGGAGTAATGCTTTCTGTTTTAACGGGACCTTAATGCCTTTTCCTTTCTCTGAGGAATAAACTAGATGTTTAACCGAGTCCTTCCAGCTGTCGTATGAGCTCCCCTGTGTACAGGAGTGTGACAAACAGTCGGGCAACGCAGACTTGGTAAAAAATGGCTTTGATTTGCCTCTCAGAGATCGTTTGCATCAGGATGTGTCTCGGGTGAGATTTCTGCGTGCATTTTATCTCGTGCTTTTGTTCTGCCCGGCGTTTCATATCGACCCACGACATCATTTAGTCTGACGGTAATTCTTCCACTAAAACGTCTTAAACCACATTCAAATGCACCTTCTTCTTTTGTGAAAGAGATTTTTTAGGTTTTTTTTTTTTTTTTTTTTACTTGATTGGGTTTCCATGTTGTACACTCTTTTCCGGGGCCTGTTTGGTTTAAATTGAAAAGAAAAAAGTTTTTTGTTTAAGTTACTTTTTTTTACACTTTCTGCAGTGCAGAATCTCATTTGACTGCCAGCTGTGTGAGAAGGAAGGATGCTCGCGAACAAAACCTGATTTCAGATGAAACTTACTCCTAAGTGAAGCAGATCTTTGCACCTTCTCACTTCCTGTGCTGTGGTTTTAACCGGCACGCGTCTCCTTTACAAGCATCGAAGCATTTCCTTATCAATTCCACTCGACTGCTTGCTTTACGTCATGGAGGAACTGAACTGATCAGTGCATCACCATTAATATTAAATATCCTTCCATTTTAAACACATTGTAAAGAAACCCTTTGTAAACACTGGAGTACTGTAAAATAGTTATTACTGGCAATGACGACGACGATAATAATGGCTGTCTGTTCTTGTTTTATATAAGTGTTGTGGAAATTGTAAGAAATTTAAAGTATTTAAAAAGGTTGTTCTCTTGTTTTTTTTATTATAATTTGGTTTGATTTTTGTTATTATAATATATTATTGTGTACCTATTGTAAATATGAAGCACACCTATTTTGCAAGCCAAGGATTCACTTTGTACTGTTGTTATATATAAATAAACTTTGCTGGTTAAAAATTGCATAGAACCAAAATCTGTATCCAAGTCTGATGCGTCTGTTTAGATGGAGAAGAAACCGGTACTGGTACTGGTACTGCCAAGCAGCTGACCCACCCACGTCGTACACTGGTTGCTGTAATTGTGTCACTTTCAAAAACAAACCCTAAATTGTGTAAAAGAAAGATGCCCATTACAATTCTTGGTTTTCCTGTAATCTGAAGTCTACTTTTAGAAATATCCCACTAGCGGAAATATTTGGACTGCTCTAAACAAAAGTAAGATTCTTACATCTAGTCTAATGAGCTTTGAAAGAAAAGCATCTGGACTTCTTTGAGTTGCTTGAAGACGTTTCAACTCTCATCCGAGAGGCTTCTTCAGTTCTAAGGTCAAATGGTGGAGAGTCCCAGATTCAAACCCAGTGGGAGTTTCCCCCCGAAGAGGGAACAAAAGACCCCCTGATAATCTTCTACATAAACACATGAGCCAAGGTGTGAGGGTGGGTGTGGGTCCTATTCAGCCAGAGTTTCGGGTGAGCTCATTGTGACGCCTGGCCCCACCCTATCATGTGAATTCCTGAGGTCAGATGGCCCAGGATATGCGTGGGCGTTGAGGAATCTGGGAAGGGATCTCAAAACTGGATTATAGATGGCAGACAGTTGGTGTCGTAAACCACCGCCTCTGTTCAAAGATGGTTGCTCACTGTGGACATAAATGGCTTCCTTTACTCCTCTTTCAAACCATGTCCTCTCTGTCCAAAATGTGAACGTTGGCATCCTCGAAAGAGTGACCTTTGTCCTTTAGATGCAAATGAACTGCTGAGTCCTGTCCCGTGGAGGTGGCTCTTCGATGTTGTGCCATGCGCTTGTGAAGTGGCTGTTTGGTTTCTCCGATGTAGACATCTTACAACTTCATTTATGAAATCCCCCTCGTAGAACAAACAGTTGAGATAACTAAAAAATAGCCCATGCAGGACCTGCTGAAGGGAGTGTGTCTCTGGGCTCCCCCTGGAGAAGCTGGTGGAAGTGGCTGGGCTGAGGCTGGTCTGGACTCTTGCTCCTGTGATCTGGACTAGTGAACTAGACCAAATTCTTGCTTTGCAAAGAATGGTCTAGGCACGCTCCATTGGAACCTCCGCAGCTCCTACCAGGACTCTGGCTGGCCAATCACAGCTCTCTAGAGGGGTTTCAAACACATAAAGAGCTGTGATTGGTCCATAATGGTGGGCAAATCATAGTGCTCTATCTGCTTAGTGAACAAATCACAGAGCTTTATCCGCTTTGTGGGCCAATCAGGGCACTCTATATGCCTGGTGGGTGGGATGATGCAACAGAGTGAAACAAGAGTATGTCACATTCATTGTCCAGTGGAATGCGGAGATCATTTGAAAGACAACGGTAGAACCCGCCCCACAACCGAGAGCCGTCAATGGAGCGTGGCCAGACTTAATAATATATTTATTTAGTCTGGCTTGCCAGGCTACCTGTGATCTGGACTAGAAGGAATATATAAGATGACAAGAACCCTTCTGAATGAGTCGCTAAGGTTGTCCGGAATTCCAACATTTGGTCTACAACAATCTAAAAAAAATGCTTTAAACATTTGTACAAAAACTAATGAGACTCTGATGGTCACAAACGGGACTTTTAATGTTTTCTGGATACACGAAAAAGTCTCTTCACGTCCAGTTTTGATGAGAATATTTGCGTGTGAAATCTAACTGAAGTCTGTTAAATATGGATGCACACCCTCTATACTCTGAGAGAATGTAAGGGAAATTCACAAGTCCTGCAGCAGTGAGAGAAGCCCAGGGGGAAGGAGACAAACAGTCCAAAATTGTGATGTATAATTTGTATTTGTACTCAAAAAGTTACAGGAGAAAGAAATGACTGTATCTGTAAAAGTTTAGAAAGTTTCCAACTTAAATTGTGCTTTTGTAAAGACAAAAATATAGAAAAATACCAATTTGATCACGTCAAATCCAATAATCTGTGGCCCGTTTAAACTTTAAATGCTGTTTCTATACCTTTAAGTAGCAGCGTTAGCTTTTCTTGTTTGTTTTGCTAGTTCCACTATACTCCACTATCAAGTTATTACACACTATTCTGTGTTGGAGATGTCTGAAAATCAAAAAAACAAGACCCTAAATCATCTGCTCACCACTCCTCTGGATCACTTCTAGTTCCCGAAACAGGAGCACCAGAGTTTCTTTTCCCCACAGAGGCCGACTCACAGGGCATGTATTCATACTAGAGACTACTGCACGTGTATTGAAAAAACTGAGTGAACTTGATGTTTGAAGCTTAAATGGCAAATTTGGGGGGGAAATGAGCTGAAAGCATTTTTTCATGCCTCTTAACAAAGTTGTAACATTGAATAGCTATAAACATATTGTGGAGATGTTTAAAAAGCATAAAGTGGTTCCCTTGCATTAGTCTAAAAACCAAAAACAACCAATAACACGTTTTCGACTGAAAGCAACCATTGGGCAATTCGGTCGGCAGCAAACCACCGCACTTCCCTGGGTCTCCACTCACATGTTTAGCAACAGAGCACCACTGGTGCGAGGTTCTCCTCGCTCAATAATACCAGAGAAGGAGAAACACTTCTGCTTTAGGACAAACTACCACAGTCCCCAAAAAGAAAAACACCGTTTAAAGTCGGACCAAAAAAAATAAAAAGACATCTGGACCTAGAAAACCAACACATTCTCACACCTTAAGCGTCGGAAACAAACGCTTGGTCAGCCACCCTCCACATCAGACCCCAGACGCCAAAAGTGCCCTTTTTCGTTACTTATGTGCGAAAAGGGGTTTTTCCCTTTTGTAACTGCAGATCCTAATACAGCGTAAAACTGACGTGATTAGATATCTGCTGATGCGGCACCGAACCAGCTCGTTTAACTGCACCTAAACCTTAACGTTTCACTATTTATAACCTTCCCCTCTCCCTCATCCTAACCGTAATCCTCTTGCTACCTAAAACGTTACTCTCACTGTGATCAAGCGTTTGTTTCCCATGCATTCTGACTGTGAGTTTTCGTATTTGCCGCCCAAGGGGAACGTTAGAACATACCATCTGGCGAGGGGGAGGTTACACATACCCTCTACTTTTAACCTCCACCGTGGTAGTTGAAACCTCCCCCTCGCGTTAGCTCGGTCCAAACTCGACCAATGACGAGGCGGCTCCCACCGTTCACTTCATAGTGCCGGCTTTTAGAGCGACCGACACATCACTAACGTGTTCGCTGGCAAGATGGTTAAGGTTAGGATTGGGGTGAGGGGAAGGTTAAATAAGAGGATGAGGTTAAGGTGAGGTACAATGAGCTTGTTTGGTGCCCTGGCTGCGGACATCCCATCGCGTCAGTTTTACGCTGCATTGGGATCTGCAGTCAAATAAGGGAAAACCCCTTTTCGCACATAAGTAACAAAAAAGAGCACTTTTGGCGCCAGGGGTCTGACGTGGAGGGTGGCTGACCAAGCGTTTGTTTTTGACGCGCTGGGAGTGAGAATGTGTTGCAACATGAGAAAACAGCAACTGGTGTTTAGAACTACCTCGTTTCCTCTGGCAATGTGGTTTCCGGTTCTGGCAGAAGCATCTGCATCTCAGGAAAGATACTAAAATAGAGTGATGAGTGTTCTGTTATCGTGTTTCTTTTAACAATGATAGTTTTTTGCATCTTTACTGTTCCCCTGCTTCACGATCAGCAGCTGCAACACGCTGTATTGTGGCCATTTGTCATCATGTTGCTCCAACTGGGCTCAGGTTCTGCACACCACCAGGAGGCCTGCAGTCACATCAGGTTGTTGATGTAAGATTGGGTCAGAGTGTTTAGCCAGAGTGATTTGGCCCTCGGGTTAATGATTCTACAGCAGCGTGCTCATCTGTTTTCATATCTGTTCTGTCTTCGGATGCAGTTGTTTTTTTTATAAAAATAACATTTAAAGATGGAAATGATAAGAAGGAGTTCTTTTGTTTCCCTGCTACTAATAACTCAGAACCAAACATTACTGCACAAAAATGGTGATGAATGCAACTGATTAAATATTGTAAATTTGTGTTTACTAATAAAAGAAACACCTCAGTTTTATGTTGCTGGCCTTAATTTTAGCATTTCACTTCTCGGATCAGCCATGTGTGTTTTATATCTGGAGCCCCTTGGCCATGCCTTGCGTTCTCTCCGGGGAAGGTCTAATCCCTGCTGCTTCTAATCCTGTACTGCTGAGACCAATTCAAATCCGTGTGGGACTTAACGCCCTGTAATGCCTTTACAAGTAGCTGCGTAAAGATGACATGGCATTCGTTCTGGGAAGGATTTCCAACCAGGATTACAAGAGAAATTCAGAAATGATTAATGTGACTTGGCAAAAGAGGATGCCGGGGTGATATTGACCCTTTTCCTAAAGATCAGCTGGGTATTCATTTCAAACTATCTCTAATGCTTTGCTAGACATTCATGAATGTCCTCCACATTCTGTGGTTGTTTTTATTTCTGTTTGTTTTACATATACCTTTGAATTATTTAGAATCTGAACATCTGTACAGAAAATGGGTGAAGGCTGAGCAGTTCTATGTAACCCCCAAATTCCACTACCTCCGCTCCGCTCCGCCCCCGCCTTCCGCAGCCGCTCGCTTCCGAACTCAATTTTTACTGGTACCCGCTCTACAACGGCTCCGCTCCGGTGCGGAGACCTGAGGGGGGCAAACAAGCATGCTCGGGATTTTCGAGATCTTGCGATACAGTCCGAGCAATAAACGTGGAAGTTAGATCCAAACACCCGTTGTGTGGGAGAAGCATCGAAATGAACTGTTTAATCTGCCCATCATGTGTGTTGAGAGATCAGCAGTGTTTGGATCAACAAAGTGTGACTACTTTGATAGTAGAAACTGTATTTATGGCTTACTTTTGTGCATTTAAACTTCAGCCGCCATTGATAGTTGTTAAAAGTTGTTAAACCTGTGCATATGAAACAAAAAACGCCTTTTGTTTATCGATTTATTGTGAAATAACAGAAGTTGTGCGTGCTCCCTTTCCTGTT